ACTAAATATATTCCTATTAGTAAAAGGTCTCTTCATACGTGTCACTTTTACAAGCTTGTACTGCATGACTGATGTCTAATTATCGTGAGAGTGAATTTTTGCAAAGAAAACCTAAACAACTTCTCCAGTGTATACTATAAAAGAAAACATTGAAGTACCATAAAAGATGTTTTTACTAAAGAAACGTTTTTTTCTTTTATCAATTATTGTTTTTTATTAACTTTTTCTTATGAATTGTCTAATTGTGAGCAGTTATAACGCTAAGACATCGAAAGATAGATATTTTTTATGTTGAACTTTCATATTAATGTATACATATACTCCAAGATAAGTCAATAAACTACGGAAATTATTAAAAAAATTGATTGCCAAGGGGAGTCTATTAAACTATCTTTTCCCTTCCTTTATCCAAGAGCGAGAGATTTTCTATTATGAATAGATTTTCTAATTGCGTTGACGACTTTATTTTTAGAAAAAAAAAAGGCTTTTTATTTGAAAGAAGTGTTCATTATGCATCACTTTTTTTGTTATTGAATGCACAGAAAACATGCATTTGAGTTTGTGTAACAAATAAAATCATGAACAGATAGTATTCTGTCACTTGAAAATAACAAGAATCTACACTTAATTTGGTTGATTGAATTTATAAAATTCTTAATTTATTTTTTGAAGAAAAAATTATTTATACTAAATTTAGACTTTAACGATATATACACTCATATTATCTGTACTTCGTCTACGTAAACATTCATCTAATAATTGTGACGCAATATCTTCTAATTTATTTGTTGATGCTCGATGTACAACGAATAAAGCAACATCTTCATTTGTCATCACATCCCAAATTCCATCACATGCAAGAACAATAAATGATGCTACAGAATTTCTTGGACATTCAATAATATCTGCCATGGGTGGAACAATATGTTTATCCATAGCAAAATCTCCTAATACACGAGTCATAGCTAATTGATTTTCTACTCGTAAAACACCACCAATTAATGATTTAGATATTTTACCGCCAGCTTCATGAATACGTTCTTGTTCAGCGGGATCCTCTGGTTTATGATCTAATTGTATTCCATAGAGAAAAAAAAAGTAAATCTGAATAAATAAAATTACCTTCTGTATGTGCTAAAACATGACCATCATGAGAAATAATAATAGCACGAGAATCACCAATATTAATTAAATATATTTTCTCGGGACTAATAAGACATGTTATCTAAAAATTTCGAATGTTTCTTTTTGTTGTAAAAAAAGAAACGATAATCTTTAAAACTTACACATACACAACCACTGTCATCTTTAACTACTTTTCTTAAATCTTTATCTAATTCAAAATACGTTTGTTTAATAGCAGCATGTAATTGATCAAGATTAAGTTGTGATGCACGATCAGATGCACCAGATGATTTTTCATTATCATGTTTTTTATCAGACATGTGATTAAATGCATTTAATAAATGAATATGAAGTTGTTCCGATGCATTTTTTGCTGTATCAACACCTTCAAAGAACAAATGTTCTCATATTATTAAATATTTCTTTTTTCTTTATTCTTACCGTTGTGACCATCAAAAATGGCAAAATATGACCAAGATGTCCATGAATGATTATCCAATGATATTAAATGTTTATGTTTATCTTCCATAGCTGATCGCCATCCTTGCATTGCAGCAAAACCAAATGTAGAATCATGAACTAATACTTTTTCTGTATGTGGTTTATCCGAAAAGAATTTAGCTAATTCATCGTGTTCATTTTTATGATCAGAATCATGATTATGATGATGACGACGAAAATGAAATATATGTCTTGTTCGGTGACCATCACGATTACGACCAAAAAGAGCTTCAATCCCTGCGTGTAGCATTTCTAACTGTGAATAATGTAATGTATTTTGCCTTCAAACACTTTCTTTTTTCTTCTTTATTTTTATATTAACTGCAGCTTTTTCTTTTTGTATTAGAAATCTTCTTCGCTATGCTTGTTTCAGTATTCCGTATGATTCTTTGTCACGTTGCTTTTTCTTCTTTTTCCTCTACTTACGACGGATTAGTGGAGAATGAAAAAAAAAGTGCTGACAAGTTGTATCATAAGTAGAAAAAAAACTCACTTCTTTTTATTCTTTATATTTAGATTTATTTGGTTTGTTCTTGCTCATTCTTTTTCTTTCTATATCAATGAAAATAGCCGAGTCGTTATTATAATCATTCATTTAACAGATAACTTATCTCTTTATTCAGTAAATATGCATCATTAAAGAGAATAAGACATCATCTGTGTCTGTATAATATTGATCTGTTAAAATATTGCCAAGTATTTTCATTCCACTAAGAATTCAAATTAATAAACATGATAAACTCATATTTAAGTGATTAAATATATAGATGGTTAATCTGTACCAAATGCAGATAATTCTATTAATTCGTCCGTGATCTTTATGATCATTATTTATTTAGTCAACAATCTAATTTATTTGTGTCTCGATTACTGTTAACCTACGTGCTATTTTTTGTGTGACAAGCTTTGAAGCTATTACTTAACTATCTACTACTAATTAGACAATACACGTGGTCGTTTTAATCTAATAAAATCCTCACATTTGAAGATGACAGCACTCATACTGTTCTGTCCACTTGTTATTAAGTATTTAGATCATAGTAAAATAACTAATTCAATTATTGAAATAGAAGGTACTTCTTGAGTATATTTATTTTGTATTAAAAGAATATTTTTATCAAATTAATAATTATGTATGCTTAAATATCATGTCTTTGTAAAGAAATGAGTATTTCTCATTACTATAAATTCTTTGTTGAATCACAAAAAAAATCTAATAAATGAAATTTGAAACATATATATCTGTTCAAGCTGATTTAAAATTTGATAAGATGTTTAACAGAAAAATAAATAAAAGTTAAACTTATTCTTCATCCGCTATTTTAAGAATTAATTTTCCTTGTGCTTTTCCACTCTTTGACTTTTCATAAAGTGAATACAACGCTTCAACGCCATCCTTTCGCCAATCATAAACAGTATCAATTAATGGTTTAACTTTGTCTGTTTCAATATAATTTGTTCGTATATCATCAAGATCTTCTGATGTTTGATTGAGCAAATGTAATATATAGCCATGATGACTGGAACTAAAAACTGACCAAAATTTACGATTTATTACACTTGAACCAACTGTAGCAATCGATTTTAATGAAATAACTGATTTTGTGTCGTCACCAACAATAGTAATAAATTGACCACCTTGTTTCAATATTTGTTGTGCTGATATCCATTGTTGTCCACCACCAACACAATCATAGACAACATCATAATCTTGACCTACAAAAGAAGAAAAACAAAAAGAAACATCGAATAAAAAATTAAATCTAATAATAATATTTACCTTTGAGTTCTTGTCCAAAATCTTTCACGTTATAATCAATAACAAGTATTTGTTGTTGATCATTATTTACTTCGTCTTTATTTTCTGTTATTGTATAGCCTACAAAAAAAAATATTTAACGATGATTTACAACTAATTGAGTGTAAACAAACCAAGTTTTTGTAAAAGACTAAAGTTTCTTTGTGAACATGTTGTTGCAACTTGAGCACCAACAGCTTTTGCTAATTGAATAGCAAAAAAACCTGTTGCTGAACTACCACCACAAATGAAAACTTTAGTTCCTGCTCCAACAGGAGGTGAAAGTTTCTGAAATAATCCTTGATAACTTGTTTCACATGCTAATGGTACAGCAGCTGCTTCTTCCATTGTTAAATTTTTTGGTTTTAATGCAAACATTGATTCATTTCCGGAAACATATTCAGCATAACTACCACCATGAATTCCAACATTTCCATAGACTTTATCACCAATTTGAAAACGTTTTACTCCTGAACCAATACCGACAACAACACCAGCAACATCATTACCTGGTATGTGAGGAAATGAATAACGACTTACAGGCGATAAATTTCCATTTAATAATTTCCAATCAACTGGATTAATTGAAGCAGCATGAACTCGAACAAGTATATGTTTAGCTGATAATTTGTGAGGTACTGATACATCGTCACGAATTGTTAGCACATCACGTACGTCTCCATAATTACTTTGTTGAGCAGCTTTCATAATCGAAGGAATACTACTTGTTGAAGTTGTTGATGCAGCCATATTTGTGTAAATAATATTCGATATACAAATATTAAATTATAATTTTATTTTTCTTATTTAATCTATAATAAATTTATATTTTTCAAAAGTTGTAAAAAATAGAATTGTAAGCAAAAAGGAAAAAACAAAACGAAAAACAAAGATCAAAGTATCAATCATGTTTAGTATGTACGTGTCGACAGACTCACCTGGCAAGCATTAATTGAGTAGAGTGCACAATAAATGTGATTCATAAGGGCTTGTTTTTTTATTAAAATCATCTCTTATGATCAATGTATGCTATATATCTATGAAAGAAATACAATGAATGTAGGTCAAATTCACGAATAGTCAACATCAACATGTATCTCATTAGTATAGACAGATCATATACAATTTTTTATGTTTAATTCTGATTATTCATATAATACTGATATATGAAATAAAATTGTAATGATAATTAAAAATAAAAATATTCTTATATGCAAGCACTTTAGAAAATAAAAACGAGGAAACAATCTGCATGAAAGATTAGCTGTCGGAACTATTTTGCTTAACAGAATCTAATTCGACTATACATCTAATTTAGATCATTTCCGTTTTAATTTTTCTTTAAAACAAAAACAAGGACTTTATTTTTAATTAGAATTCTTCATAAAAAAAAAACAAGTAAAAATTAAAGAAGGATTACAGTCATTGCATTATTTTTATACTAGTGAAAATACAAAAATAAGAAAAAATCTAATTTAAATTCAATATTAAAAAAACCAAAAAGCTTCACATTGCACTTAGTTGACAAATCGAAAAAAAAACAGAAAAAAAATTATCACATAAATTTTGTTAAAATCTATTGTTTAACATGTCGTCTTTGTGTCCAATAAAGAAAAGCACTTACAATAGCAGTTACAACTAAAGACGAAACAAAAAATGCAACTGTTGGAAATTTTCCATTTCGTAAACATTTATAACCATGAAAGGCATCTCTGCATAAACATAAAAAATGATGAGGTCCATTCGTACTACAATATGAACCTTTTTCATCACATATATCTGTTGAATTTGAACAAAAATTTTTTTGATGCATACAAAGATTTCCTACTGAATCATCAGTTTTATTAACTACTTCCCATACATCGTGTCCACCTGGACAAGCAAAGTGTTCAGGTAAAATAAGATAATCAAGATATTTTAATGTGAGAAAATCATCATCCGGTGAAGGCGTAAGATGAGGATTTGAACGAAGATCAATAACACTTAAATTAAAATTTGAAATTTGTGTAAAATCAGGAACTTTAGTTAAATTAAGGTCCATTAAATCAGCAGCTATGAATGATTCATTATCATTTGAACGGCAACAACGAAAAATTAAATAGCCAGCTTGAGAACTACAATAATCAATAACAGGTTGACTAGTTACATTTTTACCGACACATAAAGTAGTTGCTTCTAATTGAATATTACCAATAAAATTCAATACAACAAATACTATACTATACACAATCAAACCCATTATCTGAAATAGAAATATTTTAATAAATATGGTAAAGAATAAATCAGTATTTTATTTCAAAATAACCATCAAATAATACTTTTACATAAAACTGATTTACTCTAATAATAAATGCAATGAATGATTTGGTTTCTTCTTTTTTTTTTGGTCTTAGATCTTTATATAACTGTACACAACAATAATAAGAAAAGTGGAGTCACAAAAAACAAACAAAAAATTTTATGATTATCATTGAAATAGATAAGATAGAACAGAAAATAAATTAAATCAAGAGAAAACTTTGCATCTTATTTTGATTTGCGTATATGTTTAATGATTTGTTCGATACAACACATAAAGATATAGAGGAAATCATCAATATTGATGACTAGAATTTCTAATAGAAATAGGGAATTCTTAAACATCGTCATTAATTAATAACATATCTTTTTCTGCATCTTTTTTTGTTAATAATTTTGGTATTAATTTATTAGGGAAATTTTGTAGAATGCTATTGGGATTTTGAACTGTAGTTTCAATAGGTAATGTTGCAGGTCCATCATTTGATACTGAATATGGATTTCCATTTGAGGATGAAACAACTGTTGACCGATCATCGGTTGTCTAAAGATATACAAAGATTGTTGAAAATAAACAATAAAAATGTTTAAAATAATAGTGAAAAATAAAAAGCATTAGTCGAAGAAGTAGTTATTGCTGACACCAGAAAGAAAAGAAAAGCCCAGATATACCCGAGGAAGCTGAAAAATCACAGAAGGTAATTCTGTGTCCAGATGAGCTGCCTGAGAGATAGATAGATTCATTTATTTATATATACAAACAGATAAACAGAAAAAAGACCTTACTTGTGCATTATATTGTGTATAATCTCTATATTGTGGATGAAAATTATGAATTGCATCTAAGATACAAAAATAATAATTGTCAAAAATTTTCTTTTAAAAAAAAAGAAAGCTTTTTTTTTCTTTACCATGCATAATATCTTTTGGATTCATTGTTTCTTTAAGATTATTTGAAATACTTTGCATTGTTACTATTCGTCCACCAACACCTGTTATTTCTCTTTGACAATGATTTGTTGTCGATGATGGAAGATGATTTTCACGTATCATATAAGGTTCATGTGGAAAAGCAAAACGTAGAGCAATAGAAGCCAAACACATTTCAATACAAATAAAAAAGTTTTGCCAACCTTTTACAAATAAAATAATTATAATATCAATATCAAAACTCAAAACTAAAGTTAATTACCAGCAGCAACAGTGCCAACACTTAAATTTGTTTTTCCTTGAAATGCTTGAATGATTCCGAATTCTTCAAAAATAGCCAAAAGTACTCCTAAAATAGAATTCTTTTCTTTTTTTCTATTTTCATTACGCATAAAACTCAATTTACCTTGCCAAAATGTTAAAAATATAACTGACTTAACTGTTAAAAATTTCAAAATAGGATCATATTTAGCTAAAATATGTTTAGTTGCTTCATAAAATAAAAATAAGCCGTAAAGTGCAAGTGATATAGTAACATTATAAATTAATGTTATATAAAGATAACCACCTGTTATCGAAAAGTCTCCATCTTTATATTTATCAAATGGTTGTAAAATAAGTATGACTACAGACATTAAAGGTTTTACCAAACAAAATTGAAGTGTCGCCTAGAAACAAAATCTTAAATTAAATCTTTTTATTTTCATTGTTTTTACCTGTTTACAAAATCTTAAAAATCCAATTGTATATTCACGATTTGACATACAACATGTACATGTTCGCCAACGTCGTCTAGCAAAAGAAGTCATTTATTTTGAATATTTAAATTTCATAACTTACTCAATATGCTTGCCACGGATTTCCGCCATAATAGCTCCTTCACCACCCAAATATTCATAGCAAAGTGAAAGAAAACTATAGATGACAAAAGCTAAACAAAGAATGTTCACTTTTAATTTAAAAAAATGTTTTTATTAATGAGACGAACCTTCATAACAATCTCGAATGGCATGAAAATAAACATAATAAGAATCATTTGTAAAAAGAATCAAACTAAGCCATGATACAAATGAATAAATAGGTACTATGAATAAAAGACGAACAATCCATTTTTGTTCGGATGGAACATTATAATGACGTAAATGAAGATAAATCTAAACAATAAATAAAAAAAAATAAAAATAAACTAGTTGTTTTTTTTTCTTTTGTTTTTTACATGATAACCAGTGATAAGAATCGCTGCCCAAGTAAATGCTCCAGCAATAGTTTGACAAGCTACTGTGTGTAAAAATAAACGATCATTATAGACAACTGTTGTTGTTTGCGGTTGTGTTGACGATTGAGTACTTGTGAATATAGAAGAATTATTCGACATTGCTGATGAACTGAGTTTGAGTTACTTTTATTGTTTATCTAAAACAACTAAAATTCTTGTCTACATGAATCATTGCTCAAACGAATGTTGTAATTGAATAAGTTTTGAATCTATGATTTTTTTTTCTGTGTACATAGTAACACAAGAGGCGACAATATGATAAAATCAATTGTCAATCAATCAGCTAGCATAGAATAGCAAAGCATAGTGCACCGCTCGTTCTTCCGTTTGTGACAAATAAAAATAACAATTTTTTTTCTTTCTTCTCTTTCGTCAGCACAATCATGCTATTCATACTATTGGCTCTGCCATTTTGTTTCAAGTACATCACTTTAGGATAGCACGAGACGGAATCGAGCGACATCTATCTCATCAATAGACTTGTGTAATTGTATATATTGCCTATTCTTATATGGGCGAGTATGAACAAAGAATCACTAAAGTATAAAATCCTATCCTCGCATTAAACAAGTTTATTTCACCATTAAGAAGTATTTTCTCCCTAATTCTTTCTCATTTTTATAATCGTTGGTATCAAACTTTAATAATGGGTGTAATCAAAGTAATTAAATATTTTAGATTGAAAATACCAAAATAAAACTTTGACTAAAAACTTAATTCAATCACTCTACATTTTTACTGCAAATCTAATACATATTTTTATCACTTGGATATGGCTTCTAATAACTCATCGTACTATTTTCGTTTTTTTTGATGATGTACGGGTCTATTTGAATATCATCACATCAATTTATGAGATTCGATGAAGCTTTGATATAGCTGTCAATGAGTCAAGAATACATGACTCACCGATTTTTCTCAGTTTTATACTGGTATAAATATTTAATTGACAATGTCCAATCAAAACATAGATACATAAATCATTGGATGTGGTGATTGCTAAAGCTATGATCCAAACGTTCTGCATTTATTTACTATACTTATGCCTTTTGTTAGCGCGTTATTTGTTCTTAAACGTTACTCATGAGACATGATCAGAAGCTCTTATCGAGTTTTATCTGATACGAGCAATAGTGTGGGATAAGTCCAGCATCATCACACGCCCTAGTCCATTCACTCAAGATATCCCCTATTGTTTTCATATTTTATCGAAACTGCTTTTCGCAAAACGAACTTCAATGCTGGTCAAAAATAAAAGACCAACGTATTTTTGATTTTTTCTCTCTAATGCTAGGCAACTAACTCAAATTCAAAGAGTGCATCTAATAGCCAATGAATGTGTCTATCTAATGTATTGTAAATCAGAGTCTCATCAATGAATCATGATGGAAAGATTTCCAGAAAACCGAAAATTCAATTTTTCAAGTTCTAGATGATTTTGTTGAAACAATTTTTTGAGAATACCATCTTGAAGATCACAAACTTCTAAACTGAATGAAGGGTCACCGCACTTTTTACAATCTTTCATTGAAAGCTACAATCATCATAAAAACGAAAAAAATTGAGATTTATTTGAAAATCGACTAAAAAAAGTTTTTTTTCCACTTTTTTGTTATTCTTGTAACTTTCAATGGAACATTGTGAAAAATGTGGTCAAGCTTCATTTGGTTCAGAATTTTGCGCTCTTCAAGAGAGCATTGTCAGAAAAATTGTTAGAACTAAAGTCTTCTGGAACTTGAAAAATAGGGTTTTGGTTTTCTGGAAATCTTCCCTATCGTGACTCATTGATTAAACTGTGGTGTAAAATGCATCAGATAGAAAACTTCATTTGCTATTAGATTCACTATTTTGATTTGAGCTAGTTGCTTATCATTAAGGAAAAAATCAAAAATATGTTGATACTCTATTTTTGTCCAGTGCTGAACAAAGGAATTGGTATTATCCGGCGCTGTTAAGTTATAGTATTAGGTCTTGACTACAGTTTCCAACTAATCCCAGCTTCCAGACCTTTAAATTGCGGAAAAGTTTTGGGCTCACGAACAGCTATATTTTAACCCTTGACCTTAAGCTAGCTTTTGACGAACTCATTAGTTAGAGTTGAAATTCTACCTGGGAGTTTCTAGGTCACGATGAAAGTCTGAAAATTTTATCGAGCTTGGATGCCCAAAAGAAAAAATAAAGTTTTGGGTGAATGCGATGGGTCGAGCCCGTGGGATCCAAAATTGTTGGGCCCGCATCTTAATCGCGCCCTTAATACTTTCAAGGAAATTTTTTTCATATTTTAGCCTGATAATCGCCGTGCAAAGACATACTTTTTCTTTTTCGCTTATTTGTCTCGGTGACTAGGACATTCGACACATCTCTGTGCAATCTTGATGATGATCTCTCATAATAAACAAGTTATGATTGGATTTTTCTCCTAACTAGAATCCGTCAGATTCAAAATTTCCGGACTCGGACCCGACCAGAATCAGGTGAACGGAAAATTTGAAGAGTCGGACTCTATCAAAATAAAATCCTTGGATCCTGGCCCGGTCGGGTCAGGATCTATTCGATAGGCTCTAGTGGTGGGAGATTTTAAGCATAAATATTTACGTAATTGTTCACGTAAGATCCGGATAGGTCGTAAGTTTATTCCGTTACATTTTTGTTTCTTTTTTGTAAAAGATGCTGTAGCCTCTTTTACTAGCTTACATGTCAATTTTTTCATTTTTTTTTTACTTCTTTCTAGAATT